TTTCTCTTTTCGTTTTTCTTCTTTGATCTGCTACGTAGTGGGGATATTTCCCGATGAAAATATAAATGTGATTTTATTAGTGCATGGCGCGTGTATTATAAAGAAAAAAGAAAACAAAAGCTAGTTTTAACTGTAACCTTAGTTGGACGAATTTCTTTGATAACACCCACATTTGAAGAACACAACAAAGTAAAACAAGATGTGATATATGAGATGTACACGTCGAAAGAATAATACGCTGAATTCGAATGTTAAAAGAATCAAAAGAAAATTAATTATACTAATTGTTCTCTACTAAAAGCAAATTTTAGAATCTGTGCTTCAAGTTCATACCATGATTCGTACAAGAAAAATTTCCCTAATTTTCCTCAGGAATTTTGCTAGAGTCAATAATTTCCTAAAATTTTTACTGCAGTCAATAATTTTTCAAAAATTTCCCCAAACACAAAAAAATTTCCCCGCACGCGCGTGCGCGCACACATACAGATTCTGCACGTCTGGTGGTATATCCCCATTGGTCTGTCTTATATATATATTTTTTTTTATTTTAGCTATTAAATAATGCAAGTAAGTTTAGATCGAGATGAATAAATTAAAGTAAGTAGAAATTCTTTTAATGTATTTTTTTTATTTTCAGGTAATGGAAAGTCAATGGAAGGTATAACAGTGGGGTAAGTTATTCTCTTCTTTTCTAAACATGTATGATTAAATAAAATTTTTTTCTTTTCCTTTTAGTCTATCATCGCGTCGTTTCATGAAAAAACAACATCGTCGTCCAACATTAAAACATGTGAGTAATTATTATTTTTTCCTTTGAGCTGAGAATAGATAATGATATTGAGATTGAGGAGGGCTAGAGTGAGACTAACGAAAATGAGTGTCAGTGGGAGATGAGGGTGAGTTCTGTCCGTTGAGGGTTAGAGTTTCGTCTTCTATGAAGGACTTTCGGGTAGTCCCTAAAAGCCCGGTCAGGAACTGTCTTGATGTCCGTGGCACATGACCGGATCCCCCAGGCTCATTGACATATCTCTCGAGTGGGAGGGATATGAATGATTTGAGTCTGTCCCGTGCGTGCATGAGCGTTACGCTCGCCAGGGTGGTTCCTGGTCACGCGCGCGCGAATAGAATAAGCCATTCGTTTCATCAATTCAACGTGATTTATTTGAAAGGGAAGGAACGCTGAAAAAAATAATCCATCGTTTTGAGTCTATTCAATTGAAAATCGTTGAACACGATTATTCCAATTATCGACAACATAGAGATTGCCATGTTGATCGAAGGACAAACCACGGAGATTGTGAAACTGATTTGCTCCTACTCCTTTACCATTTTCACCTACAATGGCAGTACCCTGTTTCGCTCCTTTAGACCAACGCATCACTCGATGATTCAACGAGTCTGCCACGTAGATGGTACTCAATCTGTCGATAAACAGTCCTTCAGGATGCGACAATTGTGTCAGAGCATTCCCTTCGCCTTGACCTCCGGCGACGACAATTCCTTCTTTTGCACCTTTATTCCATTTCATCACACGATGATTGTTCTCGTCTGACACGTAGATAGTCTGTCGTTGATCGACAAAGATGTAGGTCGGAGAGTTGAGTTGATTGAGACCAGCACCTTTGCCATTGCCACCAGCCACGATAGTTCCATTCTTGTCTCCTATTTGATATCGTCTTACTTCAGATTTGGTGGGGTCAGAGATATAGAGATATCTCTGATCATCCAAGGCCAATCCCCAACACGAGATGTTGTTAATGAGTATTTCTCCTTGAGTTGTACCACTACGACGAGACCATCGTACAACTCGTCCAGCATCACAAATAATGAGACTATCCGTCTCTTTGTCAATCAACACATCGGTTGGACCATACAATTGATCCAATCGATTTTCCTGGTCATTGCCACCAGCTACTACTTGTCCATTCGTATCACCCATCTTCCATTGGATGATACGATGATTGTTGAAGTCAGCGATGATTATCGTTTGATCATCATTAACGAAGAGGCCATAAGGCCCGTTGAGTTGATTGGTGGCATTGCCTTTTCCATGACCTCCAGCAACAGTTACCCCATTCTGTGCCCATCGAGCATCAACTGGAATATTAGTAATTACTACAATGAACGAAAACGAAAAGGAATCGCCGTTGTCGAAGGTATATCATCTCTCATGGGAGCAAGCGCTACAAATACGACATTCGTGTTTGAGAATGCCCGTGCCACAGATAGAAATTCAGAAGTCTTTTCCTAGTTTCCTTTGAGAAAAAAGGATTTGGTAATGATTCTTACATCTATGTCACTTTTAGTTTTTGCCAAGATCTTTTTGATCATAAAAACAATACCTTGAGATTGCTGTAAGAAGATTTGTCCGAGAAAGAGTAATGCTAATTCGATGAAAGCTTTTTATAGAAAAACATAGAGATCAGAGGATTTTATTCGAAATTGCGAGAATGCAGAATCTTTTTGTAGGATGATCATCTACATGAACATCAGACAAGAAGAACTATGTGAAAGTCCTAAACTGAAAAAATCCTGAGAAGATTCTATTTGCATCTTGTTAGGAAGATGTCAAATCTAATCCCTGTTGTTGGAGAACTTTGAGGACGCTTTTAACGTCGTAGGACAATTCAAGTGGATCTATAGAATTTGATCTTATATATAAATAAATGTGATAACCTCGGGTTTAAATCCGAGAGTTATGTGTACTTCAAAAAGTGAATGAGACAGATGAGTCATCCTAGAATGTGTGGGCATAAAAATTATCCTGGCAAACCTTTTCTATAAACAGTTGATTTCTATTGGCTACTGCTCAACCACTAGAATTTAGAGATGAACACAGCTCAGATTTGAACTCTTCGCCTTGATTTACCCTAAGAAAGTCGTTTTTCCGATAACTTGATTTCTATTGGTTACTGCTCAACCAATAGGAGTTCGAGGCAAACGGAGCTCAGATTGGAGTTCTTCAACCCAAAAAACCTCGAACTGTCATCTCTATGATCGAAAGACAGAGCTCTAATTGTCGATCAATTAGAATGCGAACACAAACAGAACCAATTCCCGTTTAATTACCCTTGCAATAGGTGAGTTAGTCTTCTTGTTTCTTTATGTTTTATATACCATTTTGTAGCTCGTGAAATTCTCTATCGAATGGTGTATAATAGTTGGGGTTTTATTTGACTATAATAGGAAAAGTTTTTTACGAAAGCGGGGATAGGTCGATTCTCGCATAGGAGGGCGTAGGGAAAAATGACTATTTTTGCAATAACTCAGCAATGGCTCGGCCAATCATTCTCATCTTCGAACTCGACCGAGATATTGTTAAGACTAAGCTGTGTAGAAAATTTCATCGCAATCGGACTCTCCTTTCAAAGTTATCGTGTAAACGGCCGGACGGACATACTGATCGATTCTAGAGTGTACTCACTTTTTGAGTACACAAAAAGAATATTTATCTGTCTGTCTGCTCTTTATGCATTTCCACACCGTACGAGCGAATGCAATCAAACTTTCCAGGAATTCTCCTCTCGTCCAGGAGAGGTCAACACCTATTTTTTGTGTACTCAAAAAGTGAGTATACTATAGAATCGGTCAGTGTGGCCGTCCGGCCGTTTACACGATAACTTTCGAAAGGAGAGTCAGATCGTGATGAAATTTTCTACACAGTTCAGTCTTAACAATATCTCGGTCAAGTTCGAAGATGAGAAGGATTGGCCGAGCCGTTCCTGAGTTATTGCAAAAAGACTCATTTTTCCCTATACATTCCCTATGAAAAGATCGACCCATCCCCGCTTTCGTAAATAACTTTTCCTATCATAGTCAACTAAAACCCCAACTATTATATACTATTCGATAGAGAATTTCAAGAGCTATAAAATGGTGTATAAAACATAAAGAAACAGGAAGGCTGACTTACCTATCATAAAGATAATTAAAGAGAACTAGGTTATATTTTTGTCCACGATCTAATTGATCCATAATTCGAGTTCTATCTTCCGATCACAGTGATGATGCTTCGAGGTTTTCTGGGGTGGAGAACTCGAATCTGTACTCCACTTCCATCGAAATACTATTGGTTGAACAGTGACCAATAGAAATCAAGTTATAGGAAAAACGACTTTCTTAGGGTAAATCAAGGAGAAGAGTTCAAATTTGAGCTGTATTCGGTCCCAAGTCCTATTGGTTTGGCAATACCCAATAGAAATCAACAGTTTAGAGGGTAGGTTCCCCAGTGTAATTTTGATGTCCACACATTCTAGGATGGCTGATTCGTCTGATTCACTTTTGAAGTACACATAACTCTCGGATTTAAATCCGAAGTTTCCGCATTTTTACTGAATATATAAAGTTCGACGGAAAATAGAAAGAATATATATATATTATATAACATGTAAATTATCATCCAAAATCGATTATACTTAATCGACATTCATTATCGTTCAATATCAAAGTAAAATAAATAACATAGTCGACATCAGTAATGTAATACCTCTGATTTGACGTACTGTTTATGTTGATGTCAAATATACTATTCAATTTGGTCTAACACATAGCTAGAATGAAAAAAAAGATCAGCGAAATACACCAATTCATTTTTCAAAGTTCCATATGATTTTGTGATTGAAATTATAAACAATTTATTTTCTGAATACTGAATTAAAGTCGAAAAACCAAGTGACATAGAGGCATTTCAAGTTCGATGTTTAATGTTTCTAATGAGAGATGACATGTAGTTCCAACTCTTCACATAAAAGAGAAACA